CTTTGAGGGTTTATTAGGAAGAGTTTTCTTGGGGCGAGGCAAGTGCTCCATGGTTGTTTCAGCCCCAGGCTGACCGTGAAGTTGATGAACTTCCTGCTACGCCCATCTGCCCTGCTCCCTTTCACTCTGTGAAGGTGTCCAGACAGCTTTAGAGCATTTATTGCTCTCCTGGAGCCCTGCTCTGGGAGCCCCTCGGTGGCCGTGAGCATATTTAAACCAGTGAACTTCAGTGCAAGCATGTCTGGCTCTGAGCTTCTAAACTTTCTGCTGTGAAAAGATGTGATGTCTTCTCTTCCAAACAACTTTTTTTTTTTTTTTTTTTTTTTTTTTTTAATCCTCACCCGAGGACATTTTTCCATTTTTTTGTTCAGGTAGAGTGGGAGGGAGAGAGAGGAACAGAGAGAGAGAGAGAGAAACATCGATGTGAAAGGGACACATCGAGTGGCTGCCACCCGCACAACCGACCAGGGCCGGGGACAAACTGCAACCGAGGTACGCGCCCTTAGCGGGAACCGAACCCGGGTCTCTCAGGACCATAGGCCGACGCTCTAACCGCTGAACCAAACCGGCCAGGGCTCTTCCAAACAACTTTTAAAGGACTTTTTTTTAAACCCTTACCTGAGTGGCTCACATTAGTCAGAGGAACCAGAGAAATATTAGAGCGTGGGCATGTATGAGAGCCACAGAGCAGGAGTTTTCCAGAAAGGAACCCACGATGCGCAGGACGGGGTTCCACTCTCCACCACGATGCTGGGACAGGCTGCACGCAGGTCCGTGCGAGGGGTCAGCATTCCCTTGCGGCCACCGAGTCTGGCCCACTCCACACTGAGCCCTCTCCAGGTCATTCACGACCTGCTCCGTCCTCATGCCCACATCTATGTGTGTTTACGGTCACCTGCACCTGCACCTGCACATTGCGGGCTCCTGTCTGATTAATCCACACCTGTGACCAAGGGCACCTGACGCAGTGCTGTGGGAAAGGCAGCGCTAAGTCAATATTTGTTAAATGCCTGAAATAACACATGTCCATGTTCAGGCCTGGTTTTACCAGCAGATGGGATTTCTATAATTAAGTCCATTCTCTGGCTTCATTGGCCATTAAACTCCCTCTACGTTAATTGCTCCAGGGTAAAAGTAGATGCACAAAATTAATAAGCCACAACGATCATGGTTTTCAAAATGAGACAGATGAGAGTATTAAAATGTGGAAAATAGACTTCAGAGGCTGGTGATTTGAAACAATGCAATTTGACTTCATGGGCATCAGAATGAACTATTTAGCGGTGGGAACACTGGCAGCAATGCCCTCACTGTCACGGGCCCACCTTTCGGGCCCACCTTTCGGCATGTCTGTCGTACTGGACACATTGTGCTCATCTTTGAGTATCTTGTCCGGAGTTTGCAGCACAGTGTAAGATATCAATATGCAGTGCTTTGCAAGTCTCCTTTCTAACGGAGTCTGTGGTGGTGAATCGGACATGGAACAAAATGTACTAAAATGTAATGCACACGCGCACACATGTAGTTAGAAATTGTGAACAGTCTACAAAGGGGAACACTACGGGCTGTGAGAACCACTGGGGGACTTAGATTACTCTGGAGGATGAGGGAAGGCCTTTTGTGGAGAAATGGAGGAGAGTGAATGGACTTAGGCTGAGCTTTCAAGGAGAGAGATCATGTAGGAAAACCTCAAAGAAGGAAGGAAATGGCATTTTCAAAGAACAGCAAGACATTGAACAGGCTGTGTAGTTCGAGCATCATAAGGGGGGTGGGGTGAGTTCGGAGGCAAACAGGCCACGTGGGCTCCTGTCACATCTGGGAAAACACCTGGAATTTGTGAGAGCATGTTGAGCAGGTGGGTGACCCAGTCAGGTTTGCATACTCTGCAGGTCTTTCTTGCTGCAGTTGAGAGAAGAGATTGGGGAAGAGGAAGACGTGTCCTGGGTTTAGAAAGAGGCTGTTGCCCTGGTCTCTGGAGAGATGAGTCCAGGTAGGACAGGAGTGAGGTGGAGCGCTAAGGTTAAGCAAAGATGGAGACAAGTAAGGGAATGCCAGCTATTTTATATTTAGAAGATATAAGGTGTAGAGCATGGGTTGACCATGATATGTAAAAAGAGACAAGACCAAGAAAATGTCCTGTGTCTGGCTTTAGCAGTCAGGTGGATGGAGGGCCCATTCGCTGAGCCCAGGAAGCCTAGGGGAGGGACAGTTTTGCAGGGACTGGTCAGAATTGGTGTTTGCAGTCCTGTGCACCAGGACACAGAACTCAAAGCTCAAGTGACTCTGTGGATTGAGTTCACAGAGCTTCTTTGATCCCCAAAGACGTTCCCTCCCGCATGTTTTATTTCACTTAATTTAGTGTCTGTGAAATAGCAATAGGAGCTGGTCAGTTGCCGAGGCTGTTCTTGTAATATTTACAGGTGTCAAAGCCGCTGCGGACTTACCTCTTATCCTGCTCTAAGTCTGAGGGAGTAGATACTGGCATCTTTATGTCTTAAGACGAACCCCTGTCCTGTTTCCCTGTAAACATTTGTTCAGCGAGATGTATGCATATCATATTTTAGCTCAGAATTACTAGCTGGCCTGACATAGTCTCCCCGTTAAACACTGGAGTCAGCCTTCCTCTGTTACTAGTGCTCAAGCCACAGACCAATGCTGGAGACTGCCGTGCAGAGCAGGACACACGTGTGCCAGGCATGTGAGCCCGCCCAGGGCACCCGAAGGCTCTGCGAACGCTCTTTGAGTTGTCGTGGGAAGATGTTTATGATGTGTTGTTGTTAAGTGAAAAATGAGGTTATCAAACCACATGTAGATTTCCAATTCTAATAGGAGGGGGGATGAGCTCATGCAACCTTTTTTTGTAATAAAAATACTAACAAAATATAAGTTTTAATATAAGAAAAAGAAAATACTTGCAAATCATAAAACTGATAAAGGATTTGTATCCCGAATACATAAAGAACTCTTCCAACACAACAATAAAAAGATGAACAATCTACTTTTAAAATGAGCAATAGATTTTTCTTCAGAGACGACGTACACATGGCCAATAAGTGTGTGAAAAAATGCTCAGCATCATTCGTCATTAGGGAGAGGCAAATCTGAATCACAGTCAGATGCCACCTCGTACTCCTGAGGATGGCTATAATAGAAAAGGCGGACAATAACAAGTGTTGGTGAGGAGGTGGAGAAATCAGAACCCTCCTATATTGCTGATGGGGATGTAAAAATGGTGTAGTCATTTGGAAAACAGTCCGGCAGTTTCTTAAAAATTTAACCATTATCATATGACCCAGCGATTTTTCTCCTGGAATTGAAAAGATGTATCTACACCAAAATTTATGCATGCATGTTCATAGCAGCATTATTTATAGCTGCCAAAAAGTAGAAACAACTCAGATGTCTATCCACTGATGAATGGACAAATAAAAGATGGTATATCCATAAATGGAAAATTACTTGGCAGTAAAAAGGAATGAAATGCCAATACATGCTACAGCATGTATGAACCTTAAACACATGCAAAGGAAGAAGCCAGACACAACAGGCCACATCTGGTATGATTGCATGTGTAGGGCATGTCCAGAATAGGCCAACATAGAACCAGAAAGGAGGTCGGTGTTTGGCAGGGACGGAGGGGGCGGGAGTGACCAGTGACGCAGAGGTGTGGGTTTTCCTTGTGGGTTGATGAATATGTTCTGAAATCACACAGGGGTGGTGCTGAACACAACTTTTTGTGACTATACTAAAAACCACTGAATTGTACACTGTAAAGGGTACATTTCTATGCCATGTGGATTACATCTCAATTTTCTTTAAGTCAAGGAGGAAGGTAAGAGAGGGAAATTCCCCGGGGGTAGACATGAAGAGGGAATTTAAAACCAAAGTGATCAGCCTAGTCAGATGGGAGAAGGGGGGCTGTGGGCTCTGCTGCTGGTGGCTGGGGTGTCGTATCGGCATGGGGGCAGCAGATGAGCCCGAGCGCCTTTGGAGAGAAGCAGCTGAAAATGAGATACCTGCCCGAAGCTCGGGCAAACCGCGTTAGCTCCGATGAGTGCTCTTAGAAAGGAAAGGGGACATACTTACACACACAGCAGAGGTCTTCGAGTCGTAAGAGAAATCTGTGAACCGCTTTCTGCCAACACACTTGAAAATCGAAACAAAAATAGACAATTTTCTAGGCTTCAGAATTAAAACAGTATATATAATATCATCTCATTTTAAAATACGAGGGGAGGAGGGAGACAGGGGGGAGGGAGGGGGAGAAAGAGAGAGAGGGTGGATACAGACATATCTCAGCGGAGGAGAATAAGAGTCTTTTTGCTTACCTGTTCCCTTGCCTAATAGGTCAGGCAAGGTGCCTCCTACCTGCGCAGCCATTGTTTACCTTTTAGGTCATGGATTTGGAGAATTTTTCTCTGGTCAGTGGACCAGAGAAAGGGGGTTGTCTTTTATCTAACTCCGAATCACCACTGCTTGGGATTTGCTCATCACCCAGAGACTCTTTATTCACTCACATTGATTTGAAAGCTTTTAAAATCCCTGGGTGCTTCTGTTTCCAGGGATGCTGAATGGGGCCAGCACTGCATCGATCGTGTTCCCAGCAGGGCTGCTGTGCGGATTAATGTGTTAACACAGTAACATAATAACATGGTCTCCTACTCCTTTAAAAAGATATTCATTAAGTTAAAGGTTATATTTTTTTTAAGGATGTGCTTAATTTTTATAGTAATAATCATGCATCTCAGTCTAGTGTCTGAAATGCACATCGTAAGGTTTTCGAGCTGTCTCTTAGCAAATGTGACACACAGCCGCACACAACAGGAATCCACCGTTGGGGTTCCTCTGGGTTGTTATGTCAAGCAATCGATCCCTGTGAGTTTTATTGTTTTACTGGAAGATTCTACATGTGGCTCGGCCTGTGGCAGGGCTGGGGGGGGCATGCTCTGGGGAGAGAGCCCCCTGACCTGGTCTGCTCTTTCCTTGTGCTCCTGTCCCAGCGAGATGAAGCAGAAGCTGGACGAGGAGGGCAGCAAGTGCAGCATCCTCTCGAAGCACCAGAAGTTCACGGAACACTGCTGCATGCGCTGCTGCTCGCCCTTCACCTTCCTCGTCAACACCAAGCGCCGCTGCGGGGACTGCGCGTTCAACGTCTGCAAGAGCTGCTGCTCCTACCAGAAGCTCGAGAAGGTCTGGATCTGCTGCGTGTGCCAGCAAGCCAGGTGAGTGGCCAGGGGAGCTCCCGGGGTCTCGTCTGGTGCCGCCCCTCTTCCTTCAGCCAGGCAGGACCAGCAGCCATGGATCGGCACGCGGTCCTGAGAGCAGTCACGAGATAACCCAGGGGAGGTGCTGTGGAGGATACTGCGTGAGCATCACAGAGAGGCGAGGGGACCACACCTCTCATCTGGTCTCATCTTTTCATCTGTTCATTTCACAAGGGTGGTGGGAGTCTTAGGAACTGTGCTGGACGCGGGAACCATGATGGCGAATGCGGGCTGATGGAATGAGTGCACAAATGTCATGACGCGGTGCCAAGCAGTTGGGTGTCGTACGCAGCACTTGGCTCCAGCATCTGCCCTGGCACCACTGCACCGCCAACCCAGGGTGCATGCCTCAAGGGCAGGGACCGTCCCCGTCTTACTCAGTTCCATTTGCTGCACCGTACATAGCCTGGCGTGTAAAAGGCACACACGCCTTTGTGGGCTGAATCATAGACCAGGACCGTGTTCCATGGCAGAGAAATACATGGTGCAAATGAGGTTTCAGGAATTTTTAGGAGGAAAGGATCCAGAGAGTGTTGGGGTGTCCTAAAGAGGTTTTGTGGAAGAGGAGGGGACCCCAGGTGGAACTCAGACAGGAGGAATCACAGGGCATTCTTGGACAAGGTGTGGCATGAGCAAAGAAGACAGCTCCCCACGGTGCGTGGGAGGCCTGGACAGACGACTCTGGCAGGGGCATGTAGAGTTGTCAGTTTATGGGAAGAATTTGGCTTTGATCCTCAAGGCGTTGTGAAACCATTGGAAAGAGCAGTAAAAATCATTGAAATAGCAGTTATTAAAATATACGATGCTTTACTGTCCTTCGATATATTCACCCCCCACACGGAAGGAAATATTAGTACCTCCACAATTTTGTTTCTTTCGATTTTTCTCTGTTCCTCTTCTCCATGGACCAGAAAAGTCTCCACATTCACTAAGCAGTCAATAGCAGTAAAGCACAGAGTCGCAGCCTCGAGACCCCAGTGTGCCCTGAGCTGTGCGTGTGATCATTGTCAGTTTCAGTGAAATGACACATGGCTTCCATCACACGGCAGCGTTGCTGAGTAACCAGCACCCGGCCTCAGGGCCACATCATTCACCAATGGGCGGACATTGCCTCAAAAGCCAGTCTTCTGATTCCAGTCCTGCGCTGTTTGATTTACACTGGGTTGTCTCAAGGAGAAGCCAGACGTTGAAATATACGTTGTAAAAGGGCAGCAGGTGGCTCCTAAGGCTCGTTTCCCATTTCTAACACTGAATGAGGGGCGGGAGGCTCAGGTAACGCTGCGTAACAGCCTCGCGTCATTTCAGTGCGAACGTTCCGTGGTAGTTCCCCGAGTCTACTCGGAAACTAACGGGCACTCATAGGAGGATACCTGGGAACATCCAAAGAAATGAATGTAGATGTGTTCCAGAGGGTTCCGATTATTCTGAGAAAAGGGAGGGTTACTAAGGATTCTTCCTCATTCAGTGTGTCTCGGGCAGATAGAACACATCCAAAATTGTTTAATCAAAATTGGCAGAAAGGTTGCAGAGGAGAAGTTGGGAATTTTGCTATTTTATTCTTGAATGGTGTGTGTGGGGGGGGGGCATCTCAAGACTCTTGGGCTTTTTGTTTGTTTTTGTTAATCCTATTTTCCATTGATTTTTTAGATAGAGTGGAAAGGAGGGAGGGAGAGAGAGAGAAACATCAATGTGAGAGACACATCAGTTGGTCGCCTCCTAAATAACCCGGACTGGGGACAGGATCCTGCTACCCAGGTTCGTGCCCTTGACTGGGAATCAAACCTGTGACTCTTCAGTCCACTGGTGACACTCTAACCCCTGAGCCAAACCAGCCAGGGCGAGTCTCGGGGACTTTTGTCTGAAATCCAAAGGGATGGAAAGTTGAGCTCATTTCCAGTGTTTCCGTATTATTCAAGTTCATCATAAGAACCTGTCCAGAAAAGAAACTCGCGGTACATGTGACAGGTTTTTGCTTCTTGAAATTGATGGGGAAGTATGTCCGGGTCCGAGTACCTCAGCTGTGTGGCTCGTGGCCTGACAGTTGCACATTTTGTAGATGCCTCAGAAGAGTAATGTATGTAGTAACAAGCTAACAGCCCCTCAGCGCGACGCTAGAGACTCCGCCAAAGTCATCATGGGAAGCATTTAAGACATATTTTGACTTGAATTGAGTATGGAAAATTTTAGATAAATATCAACTTTAAAAACCTGCACTGTTTCTTGGAACAGAGAAAAACAACCGCAGTTTACAACAGATTGTTCACACTTAGATTTTATGTAGCAGAGCCAGTGCCATGCTGGGGGTGGCGTGGGGCACCCTGTACTGCCATCCATTTGGTCCACCAGCTTCTCTGCGCCTCGTACCATCTGAAGTCCAGGTTTTAGTCTCGGGACGTTTTCTCAGCATATTCACATTCAAGCCCTAGGATTTAAAACATTGTATATGTCAGACCCCACAAACAACCCACGCGTGTGCGCGGGTGAAATCACGGTGAGATGGTGGATGGCGGCTCTGTAAAGCTGCAGGGACGGCCACTTTGGTGAGGCCATACCCGTATTTCACTGCCCACTGCCACAATGTACTTCTCCTTTGCCGTGAAGATTAATCTCATCTTTGCTGCATTGGTTACATGCCTAGCTGTTCATCCAGTGGCTACCGTGGGCATGTTTTCTGAGAGACTGTGGAGCCATGAATAGTTATAATAATAAACACGTTTGTCCACAACAAAGTCAAAGAGCTAGGAATTGAGGGTAGATGTTCGTGCGAAAATATTAACAAATTGCATCAGAAGTAAATAACCGTGTCAAACACCTGGGCCTGTCTCTGGTGTGGTTCTGAATGAGTGACTTGCATTGGGAACGTGGGGTTCATCAGGGAGGACTCAGGTGGCCCAGTCCCTGCAACAGCGGTGCTCTCTGTAACTACAGGTGTCTCCATTTCATCTCAGTGAAAAGAGCCTCTCTGTCTTAGTGCTATGTTGGTTATTTATTACAGTAAAGCATTTTTATTTTAAATGAAAATTCCCCTTTCACAGTCGTTGCTGTAATTATGATCAGATGGTTAGTTCTTCATCAGTTCTTTTGCTTCATATGTTTGACATTAAAAAGTGTTTCTGTTGTGCCCTGGCTGGTTTTCTCAGTGGTTAGAGTGTCAGCCTGCAGACCAAAGAGTCATGGGTTCGATTCTGGTCAAGGGCATGTACCGAAATGTACTTCGGTTGTGGTTTGGTCCCTGGCCCTGGTTGGAATCTTGCAGGAGGCAACCAATTGATGTGTCTCTCTCACATCGATGTTTCTCTCTCTCTCTTCCCTTCCCTCCCACTGTATCTGAAGTTAAATGGAAAAATATCCTCGGATGAGGATTAAAAGAAAGAAAGAAAAAAAAAGTGTTTCTGTTGTCAGTGTTAGTTTAAAACTTTTAATTTTGGGGATTAGCAAACAGATTAATTTATTATGGAATGAATGATGGATTACTTATTTTGTAAGTTATATAGCCAATGGGATACTACTGAATCATTCCCTTGTCATTTTTTGTTATTCATAAATTTGTGTTCTTGACAACTTATTATGCATATTCATTCAAATATTATAAATAAGAGCATTTACATCTTCTGCAGAGTGAGCCCAGCCCATACATACAAACCATTATCATTAGGGGTCGAATTGATTTAAGAACAATGTTTCTACTTTCCTTGGGAACAAATTGACTTCCTAGCTCTTTGCTTTATTATAAAAATTGTTGTCTCTGACTTTTTGTCATTGTGTGCTATTACCCTTAACACAGACCGATTTGCGAGATTGTTTTCAGGGAATGAGAGGAAAAAAATTATGCTTGGAATTGAAATCAAAACATATCTCCTCATTATCCTGTGGCATTTGCTTTGGTTTTCCTGAGGCAACTTAAGGCTTCTGTCTTCCCACTTGGAGTGGAAGTCTTGGCTATCTGATCACTTACCTCTTGGTATTCACACAACCCACATGATTCATAAATCAGCATACCGCCCTTTTGATATAAACTCCGCAGTATGTTTTAGAGATACTCAATGGGTGTGCAACATCCCTAAAAACATACAACATTCAAAAATATCACTATAGTGTTTCCACTTAATAACAGAGCTTCAAAATAGATGAGGCAAAAATTAACAGAATGAAAAGGAGAAAAAACATTTCAAGTAATATTTGGGGATGTTAACACTCATCATTTAGCAGTAGAAAAACAAGTAAACAACAAAAATCAATGAAGACATAAGTAATGTGCCAAGAGCTACCAACTACATTGACTTGAAGGATATTGATAGTATAATACACCAAAGACATGCAGAATACATGTTCTTCAGGTGCATATGACACATTCAGTAAGTCAGACCAACAGGCCATATAACAAACTTGAAAAAACTTAAAATTATTGAAATTGTATAGAGTATGTTCTCAGATTATGGAATTGAAGGAGAAATTAACAATGTAGGAAAACTCTGAATATTTGAAAACAACACACTTCTAAGTAATCTGCCGATCGAGAAAGTACAAAGGAAATTAAATTATTTTGAACTGGATGATAAAATAACAAAATTAACATTTTTGAGATACCTGAAATAAATGTTTAGTCTTAAATGCCTATATTAGAAACTAAAGGTCTAAAATTGGTGGAAACACATTTAGAGCTGCAACTCACTTATTATGAAATACCCCTCTGTATCCCTTTGCCTTGAAGTCTTTCTGTTATTTGATATTAATATAGCTACTAACCCGCTTATGTTTGCTGTTTGTATGTTAATTTTTTCTATCCATCTCAATATACCTCTTTATATATAAATGGCACCTATCATACAGCATAGAGCCAAGAAGGGGCTGTTAACTGGTTAACTGCTTTCTTTTCTTTTTCTGTTCTGGTAATTTTAGCCTTTCACTTGTTTAGTTTATATCTAATATAATTACTAATGATTTAGGTCTACCATTTT